ATAAACTATTACTACAAAACAGTGCAGCAAACTAAGACTTGATTTATTGTGAATTAACTACAACTACAAAGACATTGGCACGAACAACTACTTAAACAATAGAGAATTTACTATTATTACAAACACCTGCAAAGATATTGGCACTAACAAAGAGTTAAACTAAAATTCTACTTTTACTACAAAAAGTTTTGGCATCAACAGATTTGAACTATGGGGAATTGACTATTACAGCAAAAACATTGGCACCAAGAAATACTGAAATTAAAGTGAATTGCTTATTACTACAAAGCCATTGACACCAAACAAAGACTTGAACTGTGTGAATGAGTTATTACCACAAACATAATGTTACTAAAAAAGACCTGATTGATTGTGAATTGACTGTCACCACAAAGGTAACGTCAGAAATAAAGATCTCATCACTCTTAATTGTATGCAAGATCATCATCAACATAACCCATATACACAATTTTCAATTGTTTGTTACTACAAAGACATCATCAACAAAATCTACGTCTCAATTGACTTGTACTGCAAAGTAGACGTCGGATATAAACTATTATTAACCCTGAATTGAAAATAACTTCAATTATACCATATTAAAACCAACTGCTATCTACTTTTCAATTAACTGCCACCAAAGAGAAATTACACGAACAAATACTTAAACTATAAAGAATCTACTATTATTACAAAGAACTGCAATTGACTCATAATTGACCTAAATTCATAGCTAGCAATGAAGTCACGATTAAAGGCCAAATTTAAATACAGCTAAGACGTGTAAACAAACAATGATTATCACAGTAGAATGGCGATAGCAACAATGATGACGTAAAGAGAATATTTAATCATAAAAACTATATATCAGACTAAATCAATGTTGAATTGATGACAAATGCACAACCAAAAAAATTAATTAATTAACAACTCAATTATCAACACTAAAAGAAATGTGTGGTGATTAGTGACCGTTAATCGATAATTATTCAGAAATCGTGAGATGCGATCTGGGGTGATGTAGGTTTCAGAAAAACATTTTCTTTATCGTGCCAACGTTTCGATCTTTATTGAGATCATCTTCAGGGCTCAAAGTGTTTGTCTACTGTGTAATTGTGCCATTCTTGCCTAACTCAACACGACACGCAAGAATGGCACAATTACACAGAACACAAACTCTTTGAGCCCTGAAGATGATGATTCTGAATAACTAAAAGAAAAATTAATTATTAAGTGGAATCTTCGAAGGACACCGACCAAGCTGAAAAAGGATTTTTATCTAATGTGTGTTCTTTTGCTCAGGTTTTAGTTCCCTTTTATAAACAATACGCTTCAAGATCAGATATGAACCATGGTGGGCGTCATTACAACACCCTGGGGTGGTTGTCTTTTTAATTTGAGTTAATAAACAGCAACGGTACTATGTCCTTTGCTATCAGCCTTCGCCCATATAAAGTTCAACCGGAGATTCGCAAAGTCCACGCATGTTGCACACCGGTAGTAGTCCTTGGACTAGTTAGGCCCTTTCTCGCTGGAAGACCACCGGCCGCCGGGTTGGGCAACGGTCGTGCGTGACCATTCAGCCTCCGTATCCGGGAAGGTTACGAGTCGACGAACTCGCGTTACACACTTTTCCGAATTGGGAAATAAAGACCGGCGGAGGGTCGCCCGGTGTACGACCGACAGATGAGATCGTCGTCACTAACCGCAGATCCGCCCCATTAAGTCTTGAGCCTGATCTAAAGAAACAAAACGAATATGTTTACATTCTTCCTTTAAATTTTGCAATAACAAATTATTTGAGCCAACAATATTTTGTAGTTGCAATTGTGAGTTCATTTGATAATGCGTGAATTCATTTGATAATATCTGCATATTTCACAAACACCTCGCCAATACAAAAACGATTCATTTTGAATGGAATACTGAATGTTACCTATTTACTTCCAGGAATTGCTCTCATAATGCAAGTTTGACAAACAATGACAGAGTGTAAACAATAACGGAAATTAATGCTTACATTAGAAAAGAAGCAAATTATTGGAATTAACAAAGAATTAAACGAAATGCATCTTTCAAACTTTTTGCAATAACTTTGCCATTTTTGACCAATTTAAAATCCGATTGCACCATTGTTTTCAGCGTATAACGCTATTACCACAAAGGCAACGCCAGAAATAACGATCTTAATTGCCTACAAAGCCATCACCAACATAACCTATACACATGATTTTTAATTGTTTTTTACTACAAAGACAATGCCGCGAACCAGAACTGACGTATTTAGGGTTGACTATTTCTACAAAGACACTTGGTATGGTATGGTATGGTAAAAAAGAATACTAGGCAGCGGGGTTTGTGCTCCCCAGGCACTGCAGACTTTTGGCTTATTGTACCTTCCTAGTTCCTTAGTTTAGTGCAATAGACTCAATCTTCTCCTTAGAAGTATCAGGTCATTGACTGTCGCTACTGCAATTTGATTCGCTAAGTTTTTTCCATACGTTAGGTTAAATCTCCATTGAGCTGTTGCTTTGTATTCGAAGATGGTATGGGTGGCTGTTTCCTCCTCCTCGTTACATAATCTGCAAATGGGATCATCGTTGTATATGCCCATGTTGTATAGATGTTTTCTCAGATTCCAGTGACCGGTTTGTTATCCTATCACTACTCTGAGTTTTGCCCTCTCCAGTTGCAGCAGTGATTTTGCCAGTCTTGGTGATGGTTGTTTTATCATAAGTTTATATGTCTAGCACCGCTAGAGTTTATCCATTTCTCTTTTTATTTTGTTTGAATCCATTCTGCGATGGAGGAGTCTATATTTGTTTTTGTTATCCCAAGTATAGGTTCGGGGCCTACGTATGGTCTTGCAGATCCTCCTCTGGCCAGTCTGTCTGCTTTCTCGTTACACAAAATTCCCCTGTGCCCTGGCACCCAAGATATCATCATGTTGTTGTATTTCCCCAGGTTTTGGAGATTTTGGATGCATTCACTGATTAATTTTGGTATGATTCTTTTACATGCTAATGCTTTAATGGCTGCTTGGAGATCTTATGAGGATCTTTTTGCCAAACATCTTTTAAGATTTTCCAGGGTACAAGCATTGATGGCATGAATTTCTGCGTGAAAGACCGAAGTATACTTCCCTAATGAGTTTGATTGCTCATGATTTTGGGCTTGTACACAACACGCCCGATTCGGTTCCTTTGTTCGACAAAGACATTTAATGCCATTGCCACCAACAAGAAACAATATTTTGTATTGACAATTTTGATTTCACACCTCGCCATTACAGAAACTTTTTTCAATTGACGGATTACATTCATTATATAGGTATTCAATATTGGAAATTTTTTTGACGGATTTTTATCAGCGGACGTCCTTTCTCCTTCCAAAAACTATTACATAACACTCTTAATCAAACCAAGCCCAACTTTTCTGAAAAGGCAAACAGTGACGGCCAACCAACCGAAATGACAACGATCAAATTTTGGATTTATCACCGCAGATTTCAAGAAAGAAACCTCACTTTAATGATCCGATTTAAACTAGCTCATCTGTACAAAGTAATAATCAAATAATTATCCTTTTTATGTAAGGTGTTGACTGAGATGAAAAAGTTAGATTCGAACGCTTGACCATAGGCTCAATACTCCTCATCTCAACCTACAACTTTTCGAATTCTACCTCTTTTTGCCATTTTTCAATTCATTTATCACAATAATTAATTGAAATAAATAATATGGTCAATTAGACCACTAAATATAAATGGAGTAATAATCCAAATTTGGCTTATTTTTGAACGTGTATATTCCTGAAATTTAATGGTAGATACACCGTTATTAAATAAATAATTTAATGATTAAATTATGAAATAGGTCATTGTTAGTGAGTTCTTTGTGGTAATAGTTATTCCATAGGTAATCAGCTTTTCTTCATTACGACGTCATTGTGGTTATAGTCAATTCCTGTGTTATTACCGTAGTTTATCTGAACATGTCGTCTATAGTAATTTCCAGTTCAGGTTTATTGTGTATTAGGATTTATATGATGGCAGTGGTATTACTAGTTATAGTAAACTGTTGGTTTTTGTGTCTTGGACAAAGAATGTAGGTTGAAACATCGTCAGTTAAGGAAGGGTTATTGAATTTAAAGCAAAGAGCATTTATTTTAATAAAAATAAAAAATTTAACTACTGGAGTTCTTTATTAAAATACCAATGTTCACAAATTCTCAGGTAGTCAGGTGTTTTTAAGTGACAGTGTCTTTGGAATAATAGTCCTAGTGAAGTTCTGCTCTTGTTGGTAACAGTGTTATTGTAGTTATAGTTAACTATTGATTTTTGTGACTGGTTGACGTTAGCATTGAATAATAATCAGTTCATTAGTCAAATTAGTAAAGTTTTGGATGATGTTGTCTTTGCAGTAATAGTCAATTTAGTTGTAATTAGATCTTCGCGGTGACGTTGTTTTTGCAGCAATAGTAAATTCAGATGTGATTAGATTTTCGTGGTGACGTTGTCTTTGTAGTAATAGTCAATTTAGATGTAATTAGATCTTCGCGGTGACGTTGTCTTTGTAGTAATAGTTAGTTTAGATGTGATTAGATCTTCGCGGTGACGTTGTCTTTGTAGTAATAGTCAATTCAGATGTAATTAGATCTTCGCGGTGACGTTGTCTTTGTAGTAATAGTCAATTCAGATGTAATTAGATCTTCGCGGTGACGTTGTCTTGTAGTAATAGTCAATTTAGATGTAATTAGATCTTTTTGCGTTGACATTGTCTTTGTAGCAATAATCGATTCAGATGTGATAAGATTTTCGCGGTGACATTTTCTTTGTAGTAATAGTCAATTGACGGTAGGTGGATACTAGGTTCTTGTTTGTGACAGTGTCATTGTAGGTAATAATAATTAATAGATAATCTAATATAATCAATATTCAAATTTTCATCCTTACAAATCCATATACCGAAAAAATACATTTTGATTTTTTTCTGTTACAGGCTCGTGATATGTCATTGGGCGTTTGTTTACCAGAGGCGTGCTCTTCAGACGATATAAAAAGTCTTCTCGAGGCGACGAACATCCCACCGGATGCCAACCACAACTTGACACTTCTGAGGATCAGGCCTGTCCCCGGGTCCTACACGCTTGCAACCGATCCAAAAGTTCACATAATGCTGTAAATCCATGTTTTTCTTAATCCATGCATGTAAAACCAATTGCCAGAATCGATTGGAAAATTGGTTCCGAGCGCATGAGTAAAACCGTCAATATAATTAAAAGCTATTTTACTTCAAAGGCTCAAATATCTAGAAATTCTTGAAAGATCACTGGCTTTACTTGTGCTAAAATTGTAATTTGTCGTCCTATATTTTATGCAGGATTCTTCTACCTTAACTGTCATGAAGATTTAACGAACATTGAGATCAGCTTGATACTCTTTTCCTTATCTTTTTAAAAATCGTTTCAAATAGACTAAATATGATAAACAGAGACTATTTAGATGTTAATAAAATTACAATAGTGATGTTGTAAACTGGAATAAATTGCTTTCAAATGGTGGTACGAAGGGAACAGTCATATACAGAGAATATGTAATAGAGGAACCTCAAGTGATGTGTCAGTCAGACTCGAAATTGCGTGTTATTCAGTCGTATTTGAATTTTTATGGTACGAGGTCGCAAAACCATCGAAACTTTGTTATTTGTGGTTCTTTTTATGTTATTGCTTTCTGTGAATTTTCGTTTCGACGAAAAGTCACAACTGTGTTCATTCTTGCGGCAAGGAATTTCTATCTGACTCTCGATGCGAAGTTTGTATTTTGATCAGATTGAATTAGGGTTTTATTGGCCCGAGGCTCTTTTAATGTATAAAAAATGAAATCGACGATGGGACGGAAGTGGATGGGAGGAAAGAAAAAAGTAAAGTTTGCCGTCGAGGGACGAAGTTTCTGACAATACTCTTCACTCTGTTAAAAACCTGAGCGTAATCAAATGTCTTTTACTTTCGTAATTTATCGCCGGTCGTTAGCCCTTGATTTTATTCCTCGGCCAAAAAATTCACAACATTCAACCCTTTGCGTTGTTTATTTTTTGCGATTCACGAAATACCGGCCTCGGTCTCGAGTGGACGCTAAAAGCTGGGTTATAACTCATCCTGTTACTTTATTAGGTTCCTCAACACTGCCATGTACTTTATGGTAGAAGCGGTAACTGTCAGCAATTTAACGAATTGGTGTGTTTTCGTAAATCACTCGAACACCGTGTTTACCACGGGTTTAACCCGGGTTTACTTGCGGTTTAACTATTATTTGAAATGGAGTGCAACATTTTCACTTAGGGTCTCAAATGAAACGCTCTACTATTTAAAATTCCTCCAAAGGCTGCAGCCATCATTAAAAGAAAGACTGACTCGGAATTTTAAGGTCTGGGAAGTTTCACAAACGAAGTAACACCGCATTTAAAGTCTTAATTTTCAGAAAGTGCCCATTTCAATTTATATCAAATGCTCAAATTTAATTATGTCCAACTCACACCGTGCCTATAAATCATGCAAAGTTCATCCAGAGGGATTTTTATTTAAAACGTCATTAGATAACGAGGATTTTAGACTCACGCACAATTTCACTTCAAACGACCTAATAGTTTACATATATAGAGTTTACCTTATTCAAACAAAATAATTGTACAGCAAAAATATTAGCTATATAATATAAAGTTAGGTTCAAATTGTGCAGTTTTCTTCGTTCACCAGGTTTATTGACAGTTCGATTATCCAGCAAATTTTTAAATGGCCTTTAGCGCGAAATAGGCGAATATTTCTACTATATCATAATACTAAAGACACCCATAATTTTTTGTGCACTATTACTGCAAAGACAGCGCAATCTCCAAAGAACTGATTTATCTGAATTTACTATAACAACAAAAACAAAATTACTTACAATGATCTAACTGTATCTCAGTTGACATTCCAAATTCCTAATTTTTCTGAAGTGACTGTAACTACAAAGATGTCACCTTCACAGATGTAATGTATCTGAATTTACTATAAAAGCAAAGACAAAATTACTTGCAAAAGACTAACTACATCTCAATTGACCTTCCAAAGACCTAATTTTTCTGAATTGACTGTAAGTTACTACAAAGACAACGTCACCGTCAAATATGTAATGTTTCTGAATTTTCTATAAAAACAAAGACACAATTACTTGCAAAGCACTAACAACATCTCTGTTGACCTTCCAAAGACCTAAGTTTTCTGAATTGTCTGTAACTACAAAGATAACGTCACCGTCAAAGATAAAATGTTTCTGAATTTACTATAAAAGCAAAGACAAAATTACTTGCAAAAAACTAACAACATCTCAATTGACCTTCCAAAGTCCTAATTTTTCTGAATTGACTGTAAGTAACTACAAAGACAACGTCACCGTCAAAGATAAAATGTTTCTGAATTTACTATAAAAACAAAGACAAAATTACTTGCAAAGATCTAACTACATCTCGGTTGACCTTCCAAAGACCTAATTTTTCTGAATTGACTGTAACTACAAAGACAACGACCCGTCAAAGATGTAATGTATCTGAATTGACTAATATTATAAGGGAAACGTCACCTCCAAAGAACAAACTGCACTTCAATTAAGAATTACTACAATGTCACCGTCACCTGAAAAGATCAAACTACACATAAATTAGCTATTATTATAAAGAAAACGCTACCGGCAAAGATCAAACTACATTTTAATTGTCTACTTCAGAGACAACGTTCCCGCAAGGATCTAACTACGGCTGTATTGACTATTACTAAAAATGCAATGTCACCTGCAAAGATTTAATTACATCTGAATTAACTCTTACTAAAAAGACATCATTACCCCAAAAAAATAAATCACCACAAACAAAAAAACAACAAAGAAAACATCACTTTCAATTACCTAATTTATGTAAGAGTTGAGTACTACTGCAAAGACAACAACGTTTCCAAAGACCTAATTGATTGCTACTTCAAAGACACGTCGCCTCCAAAGATCTAATTTATCTACCTATTATATGTCTTCATAGGCAAAATTATTTCTACTTTACTTATGTGATTGCCTATCATTGCAAAGACGTCCTCCTCAAGGAAGTCACTACACGAATCCTCCTACTCGGAATTGATTGTTACTAATAAAACAGCTGTCACCTACACCTATTGTCTTGGGGGTTGGAATATTATTACATACAAGACGATTTCTGACAAAATTTAAATATGAAATGAAAGATGTCTACAAAGACTAAGTCGTTATATTAACTTAAATATTTTTCCATAGACTATGATTTCAAATAAAACAGCAAAAATCTAACTACATCTCGATGACTATTACTACTAAGACAAAATCAAACAAAGACATCTAAATTTATTTTTATTTACTATTAATATCAAAACGTAAACTGCGAAAACGTAACTACTTCTAAATCTTTGACGACTTGAAAACATTTAAATTGACGATTTCTACTCGGAAAATCAGGAACAAAAAGCTATTTGATATTACTTCAACCACAGATGGCAACGCTCAAAAATTGAGCATCCATGTAATTATAAATAAATTAATTATGACTCTGTATCAAACTTTTACATTTCATATACGTTTGTAAAAATAAAACTTCAAACGTTTTTACTTTCTTTTATAAAGTGTGATTATAGGGAATAATTAAAAAATACGTGTAATCAAAGAGCAGGAAAAGCAATTACAGAAACGTTTACCAACAATACAAAAAGAACTGATGAATATAAAGGAAATAAAGCAAATCAACTGAGAGGCAATTAAAAATATTCGCAAAAAACACACTTTCAACTAGAGTTTTCACTTTGAAAAGGGGGAAATGGAATTTATAAAGTGACTAACTAAATTTCATCATTTAGATTAGATCATTTATCAATAACGAATGAAATACAGTTAAAATAATTACCAACTAACAAATCATTCCAATCAGGGATTTTCTGCCCTGTTTTCAAAATTTCAGGTTGTTTTATATCGTAAAAGATATTTTTTTAAGTTTTATACTTATATTTAGTTAGTTTTAAAATAAATAAACTGAAAGTACATCATGGTTTATGAAATGGGTACCAATAGGTAAACATTATTCAGAAAAATCAAATTATCGTTTATTTTGCCCGGAGTCGTGCATTTTGTCAAAGTCGAAAGGTAATTATGCAGGTATGTAACTATGTATGTATTACGTACGTATGTAATTGAAGGGGTTTACACTCTTTCATCTAGCACCCGTTTCACGTGGATATTCATCAATAAATTGACTTTTTATTGACAACTTGTTGATGTAGATTTATAATTTCAACTTATATAAAACTTATATTCAACTTATATTTTACTTATCTATACATGAAATTTGGACATTACCGTTTTGGTCTATCTTCGTTGAGTCGGTCAGTCAAACGCGTTTGGGCATTTTACCATCTTTAGTGTTTGGTCTTTGAATTTCTTTGAACCGTGAATATAGCGAAATTCCTAACGCAGGCAGACCGAAATTATAGGGAAAGGCCTAATAATAGGTTCAACACAGACCACAAAGATAAACCTCACAATTTAACTGCAAATTAACTATTACTACATAAGTTCCCATTTAGGGTTCCTTTTTCGACCGCACCTCGCACATGGCTTTATCAGTCGTTTGTTTATAACAAGGTTGAAGGCGACGCTTTTCTGCTTTCGAAAGAATGGTTTTTCGTAAGTTGAAACTACTACAGCAAAAACAAGCCTGCAAAGATCTATTTTTCACTTGACTATTACTACAAAGAGAGCGTTACCAGTAATCTATGCTGCATACTGACAAATTATTTGTTACTTCAAAGACCGAATTCACCAACCGAAATTATAATTGCATATTATTACAAAAACGGCGATATCTTCTAAAATCTATTTCTGAATTGATTATTACTACAAAGACAACGCAACCTGACTATTATTGCAAAGACGTTACCTACAAACCGGATCGCATATTACTATTATGAAAAGCCCATTGCTCATATCAGTCAACAGCAAAAACCTTAAATCTCTTAATCGGCGATTTCAGTGAAAATCACCAAGTTGATTTCGACAGAAAAAATTATCTATTAGTACAACGATAACATCACCTACAAAAATCCTCCTGCTATGAATTGATTATTACTAATTAAACAGTCACCAACAGAGTTATTCTCCTTCGATTGGGTTTTACTACAAATCCAACATACTCCAACAGAAGCTTTCAAGTATTACAACAAACCCAACGATTTTTAAATTAGTACAAAGACAACGCCATAAAAATCTACTATCTGTTTACTGCTTTTATTAGAAAGAAGTCACCTATAAAGATTTTTCTCATCGGAATTGAACCTTCACACCTATGTACATTGCATTCATTTTATGTAGTAGAAGGAGTACTTAATATTCCTCAATCGAAATGCATACAATAACAAACTAATCTAATTGGGGTCGATGGGGTATTTTTATAAATATTCCGCCATCGACCCAAGTCACGTACACAGCTCGAAGGGCGATGGGCGTGCTATTTCACCATAAGCCCCTCCGCATTCACTCTAATAAATACACTTACTCAGACAAAAAGAGGAATAGAGGACCCTGAAAGTCGCTACCGTGCCCGAGAACCATTCTGAAATCCGGCGGCATACCCACACGCTCTCTGTGTGGAGCCAAGACAAGCCTCCATTATGTGGGTCACATCGATCAACCTTTCTCTGCATAAGGGGATTATTATTATTATATACTATATAGATATTATTATTAAGAAAATTTATTGTTACCAAAAACGCGTCAACTGTCTACATTTCAATTATAATGAATCAAATATTTCAATAAAGCCACATACAAAAAATTAAAACATGCTTTAGGTTGATTTGGTTATTACTAGAAAGACGAGGTCACCTACTAAAATTCTTTTACTCGGAAATGATTATCACTAAGAGAGAGGAGTCACCAACATATCTCATTATTATTTAATTATGAATTATTACAAAGACAACGATACCTACTAAGGCTTATTTCTGAATTGGCTATTACTGCAAAGGCAACGTTATCTAAAAAAATTCTCTTACTCGGAATTGATTATTACAACTAAAACGAAAATCACATATAGAAATCTAATTATCTTTCGATTTACAGTTATTAAAAACTCGTCAACGGTCTAAATTGTAATTATTATGAATCAAATATTTCAATAAAACCACATACAAAAAATTAAAATATGCTTTCCGTTGATTTGGTTATTACTACAAAGAGGAGGTCACCACTAAAATTCTTTTACTCGGAATTGATTACTACTACTAAAACGGAAATAACACATAGAAATCTAATTATCTCTTGCTTTATTGTTATTGAAAACCCGTCAACACTCTAAATTTCAATTATTATGAATCACGTACTTCAACAAAACCACCTACCAAAAATTAAAATGTGCTTTAGGTTGATTTGGTTATTACTACAAAAAGGAGGTCACCTACTAAAATTCTTTTACTCGGAATTTATTATCACTAGAAGAGAGCAGTCACCAATATATCTAATTATTATTTAATTATGAATTATTACAAAGACAACGATACCTGCTAAGGCTTATTTCTGAATTGGCTATTACTACAAAGGCAACGTTATCTAAAAAAATTCTCTTACTCGGAATTGATTATTACTACTTAAGCGAAAATCACATATAGAAATCTAATTATATTAAACTGAATAATTTCTTGTGTCTTCTTTGCACGTACATAAAAGAAAAAGTTTGCTCGGTACCGATCATTTATTTATTTAAGGTTTTAACTCTCATAAACGTCATAAAGTTTCTTCAAAGGCTGTTAAACATATTTCAACAAAGTTTTTGTAGTAATATCCTGTTACTAATTAGTAATTACTAAATAATGACTTAAGGAGAGAATTCTGTTATATGAATTAACTACATTAAATCCACGGCAGTCTTAGTAAGGATTTTAAGCAGAAGTAAGGCCAGTAAGCCAAGGCAATTAACTAAAGGTGAGAGGAGTTGGTTACGAAAGTTGCTTCAATTACAGCAGGACAATTAATCACTTTGAAACAGACATTTGTGAAAAAATCGACAATTATTTAACTTAAACATGAGTAGTATTTATGCGAATGATTGTGCAATACAGTAATAATTTTTTTTTTAATTGTTACAGGAGCGTAAGTATCATCGTCTTTGTTCTAATGGCGGTCGGAACCGTCTACGAATGGATTTTGGAGAGGAGAAGAAGGAAATGCCACGTGCACAGGGCGAACAACAACGAATCGGCGAAAATGGATAAAATAACTTTCGATAAGGAGGAACTTTCCAAGTCGGAAAGCGATCTAATGGCGACCCTGGATCCGTGCAAAGGTAATTTGAAACGCGGTGGAACTTCGGAGGGAAGCCGGGGGAGAATCTGTTATCGGCTTTCCTTATTAAAATTGTTCAGGAATTGATGAAAGCTTGTTGGCTTCGGTCTTCCCTTGAATGTTTCATAAGATTGAGGGGCTGGGATGATTCAATTAAATGCAACAACGTATGATAAAAATACTATGAAAAAATAATAACAAAAAAAGAGATATTTCATTAATTATACGTATTTAACTAATCTGTACAGTGTTGGTTCCGATAGGGAAAAAGTTAAATTAAAAATAACTAAAAAAAACCATACCCCATAGATGTCTAGTTTTATTTTAATTCAAGTTATAATTTGACTGTAATCCTTTTGGTTCCAATAAAAAATCGGTAGATTGTCCAAAAAATCTAACTTTTTTTATTTTCTGGCGATAGACGTTTCCCAGGGCACTATCCTAGGTCTTATACGTTTTCCAACATTTGATTCTATTTATGTCGTCCGCACAACATTGATTAGTGCAAAAAAACAGTTTTTCCTTCAATCAACAATAACTCCGTAAATAATGATGGTAATATATTGAGGTTAACCTACCAGCTCAAAAGTTTCACAGGGCTCCATCATAAGCTCTGTACTCTTTTTAATTTTTACTGTATTTATATGTATATGTGTATATGTGAAGAATGTTTTATAGTATAATAAAACAGTAATTTTATTATCACATTGTCATATAGTCTGTATATTGGACATTCAATTATTAAACGTACGTAAATTTTATGCGAGAAAGACCAGGACTTAAACTCATAAATTATCCGTTCCCCAGGGCCCCATCCTCGGTCCTACAACTTTTTCAATATTTATTGTATTTCTATCGTCCGTAGACTAATTATAATGTAATGAAATGATGTTTAGATTGTTACAGTTGTTATTAAATCATAAAAAAGTGATTTTATTTTCTGCAATGCAGGAAAGTTCAGGCGTTAACCTTCTAGGTTAGACTTTCCTCAAGGATTCATCGTTGGTCTTATACATTTTTCAACCTATGATCCTACTTCTATTGTCCGCACAACATTTTATATTATAACAAACAGCTTGTTATAAAAATTAAGAAAACGATGGTAATTTTGATTAAATCAGTAAGGTTTTGATATTAACCTCCTAGGCAAGACATTTTACAGTGCTCCATCAAAAACCAATACGCTTTTTACTTTTTATATTTATACCGACGAACAATGTTTTATGGTATGATAAAAATGTATTTTATTGTGATATTAAACATTCAATTAATAAATTTACCTAAACTTTAAGCATAGCAAATAAGTCCAGAACTTAATTTAATAGGTTAGACGTTTCCCAGGGCTTCATCCTACGTCCTACATTCTTTTCAATATTTATATTATTCTTATTGTAGGTACAAATTTTTAAATTTAGATTGTAACATTTGCCATTGAATCATGCAGTGTATGATTATTTTCTGCAATACAAGAAAGGTAATGTTCTTCTAGGTTAAACTTAATTCTAAGTCCTGTAATATTTTTAATCTGTATAGTATTTCCGTCCTCCGCAGAACTTTAATTTCATCAAAGGTTTATTCTGAGTCCTAGGCCTTTTTCACATTTATTTTCTTGCATTTCTATCATTCGTACAGTGGCTTTTAGAGTAATAATACTTTGGCTTTGACCTTTAAACTTTTTGATCAACAAAGAATGAGAGTCCGCAAGTCTCCATCCTAGGTGAAAATATTTTCTATTTTTGTATTGCAGTATTTCTACTACTTTTTACAGTGTCTACTCCCATAAATGAATACAGTTTATGTTGGGTTTGCAATAATGTATGAAAAAATATTAATTTTTGCAAGCTGATAAAATTTAGACGTTTACCATTTCAAATAAAACGTTCTCAAAATGATCCATCCTGGAACCAAAGTCTTTTCAATTTGAATAATGTTTCTGTTAGTTTCTGCTTAGTAAGTTCAATAAAGCTTTTGGTTTGTAGCACATATAAAAGAAGCATATTTTTCATAGATTGATAAAAATAGGCACTTGCCATATCAAGTTATACTTTCCCTTTGTCGTGAGTCCACAGCTCTTTTCAATTTTTATAGTATTTCTGCTAATTTTTTTGTAGATTTAGTCGAATCAACCTTGTGATTTGTTTGCAATACATCTTTTTCAATGTTTATCGTATATCAATTATATGTTAGGTGCGCGTTTATAAAACGCCTCAAATAAAAATCAATCATCAAAAATCAAAGTACTGTCGTTATTGTTATTTTGTTTCGTTTCGTAAATAGTAAAATGCAGGTTTTATTAATCCTTTAGATTGTGTGATATATGTTCTTGTACAAAGGTGAACTGTAAAATTCCGTAAAATACAAAAACCTATAAAGCTAAAAAGAAAAATATTTTTTATTTGTATGGTATATCGTTTGGTATATCTACATATTAACATACCATCAAACCGACCTACATAAAAATCGCAGAAATGAACAGGAATTATCGATTTTTGGAGATATAAAATACACTACGAATGATATAAAGTTCAAATAAAGTCTAGCTAATTACACCAAGCATCAGTTTTGAAACTGAATATGAATTTGTTTTCTCCATACTTTAATAAACGTTGATGTTTACTTATTTTCAGGGATGGGCAAGTTTGGAGAAATCGTCTTATCGTTCTCAGTTTTGACAAACGGAAGGAAAATCCTCGAGTGCGGAACTCCTTCAAAAGATAGCATCTCGTGCGTACACGGATTAAGGTTCTTCAGTTTGGCCTGGGTCATAATGGTTCACACTTATCTCCAAGTCTTCGCCATTGCGGGTAAAAGCCACTACTTCAATAAAACCGGCTGATAATCCTCAAATTCCCTTCGGTTCACCTTCGTCGTCTCGTTTTTCAGAGAATAAACGTCTCAGGACTTTAGCCGAGGAGACGTTCGGCTTCCAGACCGTCTCGAATGCTACCTTTTCCGTCGACTCTTTCTTCTTCATAAGGTGACTTTTTTTTTATTATGTTATACCAATTTTGTTAACAACTGTCAGTCTTCAATCGTGCTTTTGATCATGTCAATTTTTCTTCAATATTTAAACTTCTTTCCATGGAAAATATACAGAAGAGGCCCATCGAAAAAATAAGATTAATGTTGAAATTGACTGGCAAGACGCCCTTCATTTTTTAAGCTTTTGACAGGAATTCGTTGCATAGAATACATATTTCCCTTTGAAGGAAACTTATTAACAAATATGAGCCTACAATTGAAGATTCGTAAATTTTTAATAAATTTCATCCATAATCTCCCCGTCTCTACGCATTTAGACAGAATTTTAAAAAATACCAATAAAACAAAATTTTAAACAATTTTTATAGCATATAGGCTAGATATTTAACTACAATTTATTTTAGGAATCTTTAAAACAAATTTTCAAGGCAAGTCTTACTAATTAAATACTAACGACTATTTACTGTTAAACCTGACGTTTTTAAAGTCTCTACTGAGGTCAAAAAAGAACACTCCTTTGCCACTCAACTTCCTAGGTATGAACTTCCGATTAATCTTGTCCAAAGTTGCCTCGGCGTAACACCAAATTTAGAAAATCTTAGACAATTCTATGGGTTTAAGGTGAGTGTCGTGTTTTTTGTTCGATGTTCCATCCCTTACATTGGAAGCACTGAATTTTCGCGCCAATATAAAATTTCCATCTTGCTATTTTCTATCTGCAACATGGTCTTCACCGTATCACTTCTTCTTGTATTGATTATTATTCAGAAATCTTGAGATGCGGTCTGGTGTGATGTAGGTTTCAGAAAAACATTTTCTTTATCATGCCAACGTTTCGGTCTTTATTGAGATCATCTTCAGGGCCTGGGATTTACAAACGTTGTTTAAAGTTAACAAATACATGTAAGATCTGGAACGAAGTGAATTTATACAATGTAAATAAATATTTTTTATAATCAATCAAAGTATTTCTACTCACTCAAAGTGTACGCAAAAAACAAATACTTTGAGTGAGTAGAAATACTTTGATTGAATATAAAAAATATATTTTTACGATAAAGAAAATATTTTTCTGAAACCTACATCACATCAGGCCGCATATCACGATTTCTGAATAATCATCGACTAACGGTCACTAATCACCACACACTTGTATCGATTGTTATATTTGACAAAACATAACAATTTTCATTTCTAGTTTATAATCTCCTTCTTGCCCAAAGTTGCTTCAGAGCAATGCCAACTTTCAGTTGTCTTCATTATAAATTTAACATGTCAATATTATAATTACCCTTCCTTATCGATGATAATATCAATTTAACCGGAACAATCGTGTAAATTGTTTAGCACAGTCGACGGCGACACCCCCAATAGCATCCAGCATGCGTTTCTCTCACACGTCATGCGCAGGATTTATGAATATATTTATGATATGTCAGTGGAACGTGATGGTAAATTCATTGTCGTGAATGCCAATGAATTGTCGCCGGGTCGGGTTATCCAGGGCAGTTTTGTCGCATCTTGAATTGATGTTTCATGATTTGCCATACCTAAGATGAAGACTTTTGGCCTTTCTTTGTTCTTTACTTAGTATTCACTGTATAAAATGCAATACTGATTGTAAATTATTTTTTTTTAGTGGTCTTTTGGTTTCGTACTTATATTTCAAAGGGACTTCAAAGCCTGAAAGAGAACAGACAATCCGGACTCCTCGAGCCCCAAGACCTTTCTTAGTTGAAATGAAAATTATGGCTTTAAAATACTTCACCCTGCTCGGATATCGTTTCATCAGGTAAAACACTCTTCCTTGAGAAAATAATCCTTTATTTAAAAAAAAATTCTTATATAATAGACTCACTCCGGCCTATTTATTTGTGCTCGGTATGACCGAGGTTGCGATGAGATGGATCAAGAATAACTCCGTTTTTGAACCAGTCAGCATGGACAACGTCAATTGTGCCAAATACTGGTGGAGAAACGCGCTTTATATCAACAGTCTCTTTCCGAGAAAAGAAATGGTAAATGAAAAAATAAAAAACCAAATTCCTTTTGTAACAATGAACATTTATTACAGTGCATGCTGTGGAGTTGGTATCTCTCAAACGATACGCAGTTTTATGTCCTCGGTATAATGTTTCTACTTATCTCCTCGAAGTGAGTTTTCCAAAATTCATATACCATTTATATATCAATTTTTAAAAAATCATCAAACTATTATTTTTTTTTATAGATTCTTCAGAGTGGCTGCAACTTCTTTGGTTCTTATTCTTCTCAGCTCCTGTGTGACAACTGCAATAATATCTGTTTATTACGATCACATTGTTAGGTTGGTTCTCACAAATTATACATCATCAGTTTAAAATACTTTTAAGAGACTTGAACCTTTACTTAAAAATAATCAGGTATACTTAGATCATTATAACTTACGTGATATATTAATATATTATATTATAATTATAGTGCAACAGGTGATAATGTGTCGAAAAACTGAAATCACTGGTTATCATATTTTTAAAGAGCTGTTTTTGTAGTAATTGCCTATTCATCGAGAGTCAATTTTTTCTAAAAACCTAAGGGCAAAGATAAAACTTATTATTTAAACAACATCTTTTTCGTACTAGCCATTTCAGAAACAGTCAGGTTTTTGAACAAAATAATATGTGTAGTAATTGTAAATTCGTTAGTTGGGAGGTTTATGATAGTTTAGTTATGGCTTTGTAATAATTGATATTTGAGTGATAATCGAGCTTTTATATAAAACAATGTCTTTCATAATAGTCATTTTAGCGGTAGACTGGTTTTTCTAAAGAATAGTATCTTTGTGGGAAATCATTATTAATGAATTATGATCAAAGTTTTTGATAATGGCGATACCTTTGACGCAATAGAAAATTCACCAGTAGGAAAGTATTTCTATGAATCGGTGGCTGTCATATTAGTCAAATCGGTGGTAGCCAGTTTTTTCAATAGTGTTTTTGTAGTATTAGTCCGTTTATTGCATATATTTTAGTAATAGCTTTGTAATCACGGTCAATTCAACGGTAGTCCTGTTTTTGTTAAAATGATTGTCAGAGATTACAGATCTTTATTGGTGAGCTCGTTTGTTGTAATAGTCAGATGGACAACGATCTTTGTAGGTGATGTGATCCTTAAAAAAATAGCCAATTCGAAGATGGAAAATTTTATTCATGACGCTGTCCTTGTAGTAATAGTCAATTCAGAAGTAGAGAAATTTCCTTGGCCAGGACATTGTCTTTGTATTAATAGACAATTCAGAAGTAAAAAAACAAAATCTTTTACCAGGACCATTGTCTTTGTAGTAATAGTCAATTCAGATGAGTTAGATCTTTGCGGGTGACGTGGTTTTTGCACAAATAATCATACGAAAAATGAAAAGCTCTTCCAACATGATGCTATCTTTGTTGTAATAGTCAACTCAGAAGTAGAGAAATTTCCTTGGCCAGGACATTGTCTTTGTATTAATAGACAATTCAGAAGTAAAAAAACAAAATCTTTTACCAGGTCCATTGTCTTTGTAGTAATAGTCAATTCAGATGAGTTAGACCTTTGCGGGTGACGTGGGTTTTGTACAAAAAATCATACGGAAGATGAAAAAGTCTTCCAAAATGATGCTATCTTTATAGTAATAGTCAATTCAGAAGTATAGAAATTTCTTTTGCCTGGACATTGTCTTTCTATTAATAGTCAATTCAGAAGTATAGAAAGTATAGAAATTTCTTTTGCCTGGACATTGTCTTTGTAGTAATAGTCAATTCAGAACTAGAGAAATTTCTTTTGCCTGGACATTGTCTTTGTAGTAATAGTCAATTCAGAAGTAGAGAAATTTCTTTTGCCTGGACATTGCCTTTGTAGTAATAGCCAATTCAGAAGTAGAAAAATTTCTTTTGCCTGGACATTGTCTTTGTAGTAATAGTCAATTCGGAAGTAGAGAAATTTCTTTTGCCTGGACTTTGTTTTTGTAGTAATAGTTCATTCAGGAGGAGAGAAATTTTTTTTGGCAGGTCATTGTCTTTGTAGTAATAGTCAATTCAGATGAGTTAGATCTTTGCGGGTGACGGGTTTTTTGCACAAATAATCATACCTAAGATGAAAAAGTCTTCCAACATGATGCTATCTTTGTAGTAATAGTCAATTCAGAAGTAGAGAACATTGTCTTTGTAGTAATACATCATTGATTATTGACGGCACGACAATATATAATAATTATGTCAGTTCAAATGCTGTCAGCAATGTCTTAGTAGGAATAGTAAATTTACAAATAGTTCGATCTTTCCTGGCCACGTTGTCATTGTAGTAAGTGTTAATTTAAAGTAGTGTGGCCATTTTAATTCAAGAGTAATCTTGTCTTAATTTTTCTAACATTAATTCAGAAGTAAATAGATCCTGTTTAATGGCATTGTATTTTAGTAATAGACAACTAGTTATATTAAGATTTTGCAGTTAGCAAAACATGGAGTATTAATAGAAAACACAAAGCCATCAGTTTATTATTTCTCAAACTTCGAGAAAAAAATCTTAATGTTTTCTTACTATGCTTTATTTTTCAGCATTCAGCAGCCGTTTATTTTGTTCGACGAGCTTTACGACAAACCGTGGACTAGACTCGGCCCGTACCTTATCGGAATGTTTACCGGTTACTTTTTATACAGGACAAGAGGAACTATTAAAATATCAAAGGTAACTTCCTTTTATTCTTAAAATTAATTTCAGAAATCTACGCCCGGGTGAGTTTCAAGTTTCGCCATATTTTATATAGAAATTATCATAACCAGTGTTTTTTAAATCTTGTCTGGAATGAATATTCAGGAGAGAGCGTTTTGTCGAGTGGTATAAATTTAAAATGACTCTAACCCCCTTAATTTTCCCTTTTATATTTGCAAAATACAATGAATTTCAAATTGTAACAAGTCTTTGACTAGTTATACTTTAATGTCGTTATTATTAATTTACTTATAAAAATAATAAATAGCATTATTAACAATGCTTACTTTTTTGTAATTGCAATTCAGGTCGTTAGCTTGATCGGATGGATAATCGCACTTTCCGTTCTCATCAGCCTCGTTTATGGAGTTCTCGGAGCAAATCTAGGAATAACCGGTTCAGCGTTGTACGCTGGACTTGGACATACTGCCTGGGGTGCAGCACTAGCCTGGATTGTGGTGGCATGTACAGCCGGAATGGGAGGTATGTTCTAGCTTCGTCTTGATAACTACAATCTTCAGACTAACATAAGTTTTAAAAAATTCATACCATTGGGTTAAAAAAAGGTACATTAAAGAATATTGACTGTCTCCTTAGGTATACGTAGATATGTACATTCACCGTGAAGAAATAGTCTATTATTTAACTGAATAATGCTTTTTATGATTAAATGTTAGTTATGAAAAAAACTATAACAGATCGATTTGGGCAAGAATATATTTTTGTCATAATAGTCAATTGAGGAATAATTAACAATGAATGTTTGGCTTTGATATTAATAATGGTCAATAAATGTTTCGGTTTTTAGTCATGTGTTTTTCTAGTAAAGCCAAATTATTATTAGTTAATAATTAATGTTGAACGTGTCTTTGTACGAATAGGCAATTTTGGTATGGGCTTTGGATTACCAATGATTTTTTTAAAATAATAGTCAATTAATAATTCAGTTGAAGTAATTTTAAGTGTTTTTTTTTTGTATTAGTAGGCATGTCAATTTTTTTAGTAAGAGGCAGTGCCAGTAAAATAATCGTCAAGTAAGAGAGTGCTCTTTGTTGGCAGCAATGTTTTTCTTGTATAAATCAAATTTGAAATAGTTTATAATTTTTGTTTATTTTTTGTAATATTTATTCAGAAATCGTGAGATGCGGTCTGATGTGATGCAGGTTTCAGAAAAACATTTTCTTTATTGTGCCAACGTTTCGATCTTTATTGAGATCATCTTCAGGGCCTGGGATTTACAAACATTGTTCACATTTAACAAATACATGTAGGATGTAAAAAAAAGAGAATTTATACAATGCAAAATATATTTTTTATATTCAATCAAAGTATTTCTACTCACTCAAAGTGTTTGTCTTCTGTGTAATTGTGCCATTCTTGTGTGTCGTGTTGAGAGTGCCAGTGGGATATTGCTGTTTTGTGTTTATATATGTTGGATTTTGAATGGGTGGGGAATGAAGTCGGTATAGAAAAGACAAAATGTTTTTCTGAAACCTAATCACACCAGACCGCATCTCACAATTTCTGAATAACTATCGATTAACGGTCACTAACCACCACACACTTTTGTAATATAGTTTTGTAGTAATAATCAATTTATATGTAGTCAGATCTTTGTAGATGACGTTGTCTCCATAGCCAATTCAGGCAAATTTTGCTAGAGATGTTGTTTGTGCAATAATAGTCAATTCGGGGTAAATTAGGAAGTGACATTATCTTCGTAATAATAATCACTACAGAGGTAGTTATCTTTGCAGGTGACGTTGTCTTTTTAGTAATAATCAATTTAGAAATGGTTAAATCTTTGCAGTTTAGGTTCTCTTTGTAGCAATAGTCAATCGAAATATAGTTTGATCTTTGTCGGTAACGTTTTGTTTGTAATAATAGTCAATTTATATGTAGATTGATTTTTACAGGTGTCGTTGTAGTAATACTCAATTAAGATGTAGTTAGATCTTTGCAGGCGGCTTTTTTAGTAATATTCATTTGAAATGTAGTTTGATCTTTGGAAGCGACTTTTTTGTAGAAATATTCAATTGAAATATGGTTTGATCTTTGCAGGTGACGTTTTCCTTGTAATAAATATAATCAATTTATATGTATTCAGATCTTTGTAGATGACGTTGTCTGCACAGTCAATTCAGGCAAATTTTGAAAAAGATGTGTTTGTGCAATAATACTCAATTCGGGGTAAATTAAGAAGTAACGTTATCTTTATTATAATAATCACTACAGAGGTTATCTTTGCTGGTAATGTTGTCTTTGTAGTAATAATCAATTTACATATTGTTAAATCTTTGCAGTTTATGTTTTCTTTGTGGCAATAGTCAATCTAAATATAGTTTGATCTTTGTCGGTAACGTTTTGTTTGTAATAATAGTCAATTTTTATTTACATTGATTTTGCAGATGTCATTGTAGTAATACTCAGTTAAGGCGACTTTTTTATTGTAATATTCAATTGAAATATAGTTTGATCTTTGCAAACGACTTTTGTAGTAATATTCAATTGAAATCCTTGCAGGTGACGTTTTCCTTGTAATAATAATCAATTTATATGTGGTTAGACCTTTGCATGGAATTTGTCTTTGTTGTAATTTGTTGGGTGTTTTTATTTTGTTAAATTCGGTGGTAGGTGTTTTTAGAAAGAGTCATAACAGGCATAAAAATATTTAGGTTTTTATTGTTGTAAAATGTTGTTGAAGTATAGGTCAATTTATTATAGTCGTAATTATGTACAATGTGTTATTTGTATGCGTAGATGTTTTGTAACAATATTAACTTCAGCGTCAGTTTTTTAACTTAAGGTTTTTTTTTGTTTTTTTTTTTTTACCAATAGGCTCTTAAGGTGTAGTTGATTATTTGATGTTAGTCAGTACAGTCGTTGTTTTAGTAAGAATTTTAGGTAAGAGTTTCTTTCTATTACAAGTCAATGAAAGCGTTAGTTGGTTTTAGTTAGTGCCAACGTCTTTGTCGTAATAGTAAATCATGAAAGTGTATTTTTTTTGTCGTATTCCATTTGCATTTAGATCTTTTGGCAGACGTACAATACATGTTGATTATAATCGGTAATAGAAATATAAATACACTTTGTTGATTACATATTTCAATTAATGTACCAATTTTGTAAGTAAAATGGAAAATAGTACAATAAGATTTCACCTGGTTGTTTGCAGGGTGCGTCAACTCGTTGCTGTCCTGTCGCCTTCTTCAGCCACTTAGCCGGCTTACGTACTGCGCGTACCTCATACACCCAGTCATCATGGTCTTGACATCTTTCCAGATGGATGGCCCTCTCCACCTTTCGACACCTGTGACTGTAAGTAACAAACACAACGACATTCATCTTCTATTTTTACCTTGTTTCATTTTTACAGTTCATCCTCTACTTCGGCAACATGGTTGCGGCGTTTTTGGCCTCCTTCTTCATATCGCTGGCCTTCGAAGCACCAACCGTCCGACTCCTTAAAGTCTGCCTGTCTCCAGTAATGGCCAAACAAAACAACTGAAGGGCGAAAAATTTCGATTTTGGTTTTGTTTATAAATATTGTAAATAGGTGGGCATTTTTTTGACTGAATGTAAAGTGTATGAATGTAATTTTTCTTAATTTCTTTAAGGAAAATGTAATTAAATTATAGTTGACAGACTGTAAAATTGTTGAATAATAATTTATTTAATGTTTATTATTCGATGTCGATAACTTGTACTTTTGAAATGTTTAAATTCATATCTTTTCCCAAAAAAACAAAATCGATGTTTTTGTTTTGTAATTTTTGGTTTTATTCGCTTTCCTTTCACTGTCAAATTTACGAGTGGGGAAGAAAAATTTTGACTGTCTGTAGTTTTAAGAAACTTTGCTCAAATTATAGAATTCGTGACCCTTTTGTCTGATAAACGGATTCATGAATATTTGTATATTACTTTTACAAACTGAAAATTATTAACAATTGTATTATCGAAGTTATGTATATTTTTTATAGTGTATGAATTATAGTTTCTCCCTCGTTTGTTACCGTCGATGAAATATAAATATTTAATTTTTAACAAGGTTACTTCTTTTCCTCCTTAATTATTTATTTTAGAAAGTAATAGGATAGTTAATAAATATATGGACAGATTTAACAATAGAAAAACAGTATTATCACAAACAAATTTGTGTCAAATTAATTCAAAATCACACGCAGTAAATTTGACTTGAAGCTTATCTAATATTGTGACACATTTGATGATTTCTAATTCTGGTTGTTAATATAAAAATTCTAATTATTTCTACCTTGTTATACCATGTAATTTGTACTTCTCTAATTTTTAACCTCCAAGAGTCCCGATAGAATGGCATTCGAATTGAAACTTTCTCCTTTCTTGCTAGTAGCATCTGTTGCTAGTTTAATTACGACCCACGTGCATTTTACGGTTTGTAATTTATACCCGGTCGATAAGGTTGTTGGGAATTAATTATGAACAGTAATTAACAGTTGTTTTGTCGTCGATTTGTTTTGTTTCAATTTCAAACAACGCGCCTTTAATGCGGCCACACGGTGGAATTGGGTTGAAGCGCAGGTATGCGATTACACGGCTGTTAAATGATGTTAATTGCCGTTTCGCGAAGGCTTACCAAGACCGTATATTCAAACCGTCGAGAAGGTCCCAATCTAGGATCAAGTCTATTAATCAAGAAACGAGGTTTACTTGCTATTTCGAAAAGCTGGAGAACCAAAGAAAAAGAGACAATTTCAAATAAGCATATAAAAACCCAGTAGGATTAGTTAAATTTTTAAATAAGTAGACGTAGAATAAAATGTAATTCTATCTTTTTTTTCATATATATTTTTCTTTTGCAATAAAAGAATTAAATGTGCATTTAATTACATGCACCTGCATAAAAATTAAAGGTGTAAAAATTACCGCAATTTTATGAATTATTTTAATTTTTACTCGCCAATAAGGTAAGCTTTGAATATTTTCTGAACTGCCGGTAAAACGGCGGGGGGACTTCAAAAAGGCGAAAATAGAACAACCAAAACTGGCGAAACATCTCAGAATTTACTATTGCTACAAAGAAAAAATCACCTTCAAAGATCTTGCTACTAATTGACTATTTCTACAAAGACATTGCCATTTTTAAAGAAATATATCTTTTTTTTAACGAGGGTTCTCAACAGCAGAGGACATATCAGCCTTCAGGGTGCTGGCGTTTTTGAAAAAAAGCACATTTGATAATATGTTGCGAATGCAGGGCCGCTGGATTCGAACCCGGGATCTTTACCTTACATGGGTTCGATGAGCGCCGTGTCAACTCCTAAACCGTTGCGGCCACCGACGCGCCCCGACAAATCGCTATTTCTGAATTGACTATTACTACAAAGACAACGCAATTTGCAAGGATTTAACTACATCCGAATTGAATATTACTTCAGAGAAAGAGTCATTTGTAAATATCTAAATAATTCTGAATTGACTACTCCTACGAACACAACGTCACCTGCAAGGATCTAACTACATCCGAATTGACTATTACTACAGAGACAGCATCATTTCTAAATATCTAAATAATTCTGAATTGACTACTCCTACGAACACAACGTCACCTGCGAGGATCTAACTACATCCGAATTGACTATTATTACAAAGACAGCGTCATTTGTAAATTTCTAAATAATTCTGAATTGACTACTCCTAACGTCACCTGCAAGGATCTGACTACATCCGAATTGACTATTGCTGCAGAGAAAGCGTCATTTGTAAATTTCTAAATAATTCTGAATTGACCATTCCTACAAACACAACGTCACCTGCAAGGATGTAACTACATCTAAATTGACTATTACTACAAAGAAAATGTCATCGTAAAACAAATATCTCTTGAATTGACTGCTACTAAAATACAACATCACCTGCAATGATTTGACCTTATCTGAATTCGCTCTTACTATAACAAACACAACGTCCCATAGAAACATCATATGTCTAAATATAATAATTGTCCAAACCGACCAGCAAGACATAATTAAAACCAGTAAAGATCAATGATTTGCGTACATCCCAATTGGCAATTACTACAAACGAACACTCTGAATGAAGGTATGGTCTTGAAGAAGAAAGCAAATTCGGTTGATACTACCATCGACTTATTTTAAGCCTATCATCAGGGAAAACAATCAACTACAGATTTAATATTAATACGAAGACAACGTCATCTGCAAAAACCAATCTGAACTGACGACCACTACAAAATTAACACACCACCATCACCAGAGAACTATTGAGCGTTTGAAAAAATCATTATTTACACTACAGAATAGTAAAAAGTTTATTGACTAGCCTTTGGACATTTTGTACAATCAAATTGGTAATAAATAATTAAGTTATTTAAATAATTAAATTTTAATATTAAGCTGTGTAAGGAAAGTTATTCAGTCTACTATTCTTAACTCTACCAGCTACTTCTAAAGAGGATCTCTTGAAGGCCGACTTCATAGACAGAACAAACTAGCGAGTATAGGCGGACCAGTCATAAATACTACAGGTTTACCATCCCAAAAACTCCAACCGAAAATGTAAATAATTTTAAAAATTCGGAATAACAGAAATAACATCATGAGTATTTAGCTATTCTTGTTTAAAAAATACATGCCAGAAAATTATTTTTGTGGTAATTCGTAGGAAAAACTCTGTTATGAAACATTTTACGGTAATGGATAGGGCTGGGTGATAAATCGATGTAAGATTGACAGGCGTCGAGAAGGACAATGGTTGACTGTCCGTGATGAATGGACGAATGTTTAAATAATCAAATGCTTTTCAATAAAACAGGGTAAAAAAATTGAAAAAATAAAAGGGGTTCACGCTTCTTCCTGACAACACTTTTAATACGACTTTTCGTACATCCCCACGTTATGCCTGTTCATTTTAATACATGGAAAAAAGGTTTGATAAGCAGGTCTGATGCTCATTAAAAAATTACACTGATACTGTATGTTTTACGATACAAAAATATTAAGATATAATTTTGAACAATAATGAAATTTTTATTTGATGTAACTGAATAGAGTTCGAACGGATTTTATTTCAAAGGCACATCACAACTAACAGTTAAAGTGTTTTGCCGATAAAAAGAAATTCGGTTTGAATTAGTGATAAAATCATAATTAATTTTTACGAATGGAAAGCAGTGAGGTACCCTGGATTGAGCCCGGAGGGATCGTCAGATGTCCAAATTTATCTAGTATTTTGTTCTAAATAGACTACAGCTTTATTAGCAAAATTATGAAAATGGACGAAATTAATATCATGCCTTTGAAATAAAGATGACTATTTTCCAAATCATCAAAAGCCATATATGTAAATTGATATTTTTAAAATATTTTTATTTGGTAAAGGTTTTTAATACGATTGTTTGGAGATCGTGAAATCGCGGTCGGGTGTGACGTAGGTTTAGAAAAACATTTTCTTTATTGTGTCTACGTTTCGATATTTATTGAGAAGATCATCTTCAGAGCTCAAAGTATTTGTTTTCTGTGTAGATGTATCATTATTGTGTGTCGTGTTGAGAGTGCTAATAACGACGCAACTACACAGAAAACAAACTCTTTGAGGCCTGAAGATGATCTCAATAAAGATTGAAACGTTGGCACGATAAAGAAAATGTTTTTCTCAACCAACGTCACACCAGACCGCATCTCACGATCTCCAAATAATCATAAACTAACGGTCAATAAACATCACACGTTTTTAAAATATTTTGCAAACTTGAATCTTGAGAAAATTACGACGTAAACTGCAAAGATCTAGAATCTGCATTTACCATAAACCCAACGTCAAACGTAATGATCTAACTACATTCGAAGTGACTATTATCACAAAGACCACGTCACCTGCAAAAATGCTACGTCTTAATTGACTATTTTTACAAAGAACACGACACTTACAAAGATCTAACTACATCTTAATTGACCATTACTTCAAAGAGAACGACACGTTAAAAGACATGTCCCTTCTTCTGAAATGACTATTGCTACAAATTCAAAGTCACCCAGAAAGAAATTCTCTTGTTCTGAATCGACGATGACTACAAAGACAATGTCAATCGTCAATCTCTTCAATATTACATATGAATTAATTTGAATCTATTACTGCATACATAGCGTTATCTGCCAATATCTACCTACATCTAAATGGACTATTACTGTAAGCACAACGCCACCCTCAAAGAACTAACTACATCCGAATTGACTATTATGATTAAAAATTAAAAATTAAAATTTAACTAACAATTTATTCTATCACTAACAATAAGTGGTTTGATGAATATTGTTTCAAATTCACTAATTTCGTGGTCCGCTTGACCAATTAACATATTATAATTAATTAAGGTTTTTAGTTGAGATAAAAAAGTCAATGGCACGAGCGGGATTCGAACCCACGATCTTCGGCTTGGAGCTTCGGAGGGAAAATTCAAAAGGTGCGGTTGAGATGGGAAGTTGGTGTCCGAGTGGATCGAGGTCACGATAGCTCAATTGGTAAAGCAGCGGCGTATCAAGCTGAATATCGTGGGTTCGAATCCAGCTCGTGCCATTGACTTTTTTAT